CTCCGTAACCTACACAAATTTGGTTTGTTTTTCAAATCCAATAAATACAACTTGTACTGTTCTCGAGTTGTTTTTTGTTTTTTTTAATATATCCATACTCATTTAAATAAACCCTACATACAATATGACCAGCAAAAATGGCCCGCGAGAAACAGAATTCCTACGAATCGAGAATCGACCCCCTGATCGTGTGGTAGAATTTTTATTTTACGTTCAAAAAAAATGTCAAATATACCGGGTGTTCAAATTAAAGGGTTACAGTTAAATACCGCCTTTTATAAAAAAATCAAAGTTTAATAATTTTTTGGGTAAAACATTTTAGCTAAAATTGTTTTTTATAGCAAACCATAATATGGCCAACTTTTTTTCGCGCAGCAAAATTTTCAAGTAGATGTTACTCAATAAGTAGAAATCCAATAAAAAAATGTTTCCTTTAGAAGTTTCTTGTTTTTTTCATGAACTCTAAGAATACCTATGTAAAAAAATAGGGTTCCAATTTGAAAAAAAATCCACCTCGATATGGCCATGTTATGGTCAGCTATAAAAAAAATAATTTAGCCAAAATGTTTCCCCTAAAAAACTATAAAACTTTTGTCTGATGCTTTTTTTTATATAAAATGCATATTTTTGGCGATGTAAAACTTTAATTTAAACGCCCGCTATAATCATCAACATACGTTCTTTTATCACAAAACACTAAATTATAATACCAACTTACTATACTCTGTTTTTAAACTAAGAGGAGCGAATTGAAAAGTCCTATTTACACAGGGAAAAATAACTAAAAAAGTAACTAGATATCATTTTAGCGGTAAATTTGAATTTGTCTTGTATCATTTCAAGAAAAACATTTCAAAACTTTTGTTATGTCATTGAAGTCAAAGTTTTAGATAACCAACGAATAAAGATGACACTAAATTGTGCTCATTCCCTTTTTGATTTATAATTATTGTATTTTAGTTATACTTTTATTTTTTCCTTACTTCGTCTCATATCGCAGCTCGGACCAGTATGTTGAGAAGAGAATCGTCCAAGCAGCGACCAAATTTCAGTAAATTGAGTAAAATGTCTCCCAACAAAATACAAAATAATTTACATTTTGAGTTTAACATAGAGTTTTAATTCGATATTTTATTCATTGTTTTATAAGTAACTGTGATTAGAAAATTATATATCTATTATAATAACAGAAAAGAAAGTAAATAGTAGGTTTTTCAATTTGATGGAAAAATTAGAAAAATAGGTATGCCAGTTCTATTTGTTGGAATGAAATTAAGCACCTATTACCTACCTATTACAAAACATATTTAGGAGGGACTGAAAAATATGTAGTTGAAGAAAAGCTTATTTAAAATGAAGAATTTTGAAGGTACAAAAAAATAAAGTTTATTTTTATATTTCTTTATAGGTATAGTTTAATTTGTAATATTTTTTCTTAAAATTAAACTACAAGATTACCATTAGTTGTATGGATTTCCTAATTAAATAAGGGTTCTTTCTTCAGGTAAAATGTAGCAAAGTTCTGAAGTATGATACGATATGTTTGCAGACAAGTGTTTTGAAATGAAATAAATCAAATCTATACGAATTTTGTCTCCACTAACAAGATGATATAACAGTCGAAAGTGTAAACTTGTGGGCAACAGCTTATTAAATGTATGTAGAAGTCCAAGAAAGTGCAATGGTACCAGCTTTTACTATAATAATAATGGTTTTTATCATTCTCCTGTTTTTTTGTAGATAGGATTTATAATTGTTGCTTAAATTCCACATTGTGTATCAGAATGTCTTTGGTCTTCTTGAAAACATATTTTTATACAATATAAAGCAGATGGTATATTTTTTTGAGACATCCTTCAAGCCTCTCGAAAACTAAATGTTTATTTGCAGGTAAGATAATATGTATCTTAATTTTGTATGATAATTTATTGTATAGATAAATAATTAAATAAAAATTATTAAGGCATAAAAAAGGTAATTTGTAACTTTGTGTCAGCAGAAGGATTTCCTACACCCAATTTAATATATTTTTACAAACAAAAATATCTTTAGTATGATCGGCAGATATTTTTAATAATTCAGCACTACATATGTTTCGAAATCTTCTGGTGCAATCACAGCTTTTTAAAATTTAAAAAAACCTTTAGGAACATAAACACTTTAAAATGATCATGAACGAAACCCATATTTTGTGATAGTGTGTAGGTAGCTTACAACTAGTTGATTAAATTAAAATACACCTTTTACACATTCGCAGAGTTTAATATGTGTAAGTGTAGTTATAATCTTTGCAGTCTATTTTATAAACTACATTTAGTTAAGTTGTTTTCTTGAGTTTGGGTTTAAAATTTAAAAATAAGGTTTCGTTTATGAGCAATTTTTACATTATATCTAGATAATATTTTTGTCACTTGTTTGGAAAGTCCTTTTACATATAGCAATTTAATGTTTAAAAAAAGGTTGCCACACCAAATGTTACAGTGATAACACTTTATGCTTTTGACTATTTAAGTACCAAGCTATTTATTTAAAATAATAAAACAAGGTATTTGTTTTAGGTTAAATAATGAAAGTTTTGGAGGCCACAAATTATGGACATATTCAGATGGCAATAGCACTTTTAAATATATCCAAAATATTTTGTAGTTTTAAATGTTAATTAACAATTTTGTAAATGGTTTATTTTCAAATAAATAAAATTTACTTTAATATTTAGTTATATTTTAATCATTTTGATTAGAAATTCATTAATATTTAGTTAAAAAAAAAATTAGTAATAAAGTTGTATTTTTTTTTAAGTAGAACACCAAAAAAGCAATATTTACCGGGTAAAATATTTAAAGCTGCTCCCATTTTTATTGTAAAATTTAAAGGTCGCCTTTTTTATAAATCCAGATTTCTTAAAAACGGCTGCTCAAATCTATTCTTACCACTTATACCTTGCAGAACAAGAATTTTTAAGTTAAATACAGACTGGCGCTTAAATGTGTGTAAGATACAACAATTTTACAATAAAAATGAGAGCAGTTGTAATTTTTGTATACTTACACTGTAGTTTTGTAATTTTTTTTTAATATGGGTTAGAAAAAAAACATATGAATAGTAGTATCTTTATTTTGTAAATTTGTTATAATATTTTAATTAATAATAAAAGTTTGAAAAATAAAACAAAAATACATAAGAGGTGCCTATACAACATAATAAGTGAAAAGACAAAGTACATCTTGACATTTACATTGAACCAGAAACAAAAAACACTAAGTACTCAATATGTTAATCTACATCAGAAGATTTGTTGTTTTTAGCTGCCACCTGATTTATTTGTGCCTCTATCAATTCTATGGGATTTAACTCGCAGTGATATGGGGCAGCCACTACACAACTTTATTGGTTTCTTTAGCTTTTACATCGACAACATTCAAATTATGTGCATCTTTATGTTGCCAAATTAGGTGTAAAAGTTGATATTACTTCATATTTAAATAAATTTAATATTTTTAGTTTTGTAACCATTCCCGTCAGATTTTCTTGATGACAAAGGAATTTTTTCAACTTTTCGACTATGATATGATACATTTTCTATGACAATCATAGCATAATTAGAAAACTTTGTAAAAAATGTAGAAAACCAATTCTAAAATACTTGGGATTTCGTCTCATCGAGGTAAATGCATTTTCTACAAAACCTTCAGAATTAGCACATATATTAAGGCACCTGCTTTTGGCTTTTCAGGCCTGTTGATAAACCTTATTATGATCTTCATCAAAGTAGAAGCTTGGTCTGTTTTATTTTCTGTATTGTTTGATGGATTTTAAATCTACGTATATAGTGTTCTATCAATACACTTTGATAATTTCTTTTCAAATATCTAAAAAAATTATACATAATAAATAAACAGTACATTTGACTGGTCAAAGTTACAAACTTACTTAATTATTATATCTCAAGAAAGTATATAAAGATGAATAATATATTTGTGGCAAATCTAAATATTTCAATTGTTGCAAAATTTTATTCAATCTAGATAACTCATTTTTGAAAAAGAAATCGTGTACTAATCTTCGAATAGCATTTATCATCATCATAATCATCAAATGTTTTTAGAACTCCTCGTCTTCCATAAATACTTTTTAGACTAGATATTGTTTCATTATTGCGGTATTATTTCAATAATCGGTAAGTAGTTGACTTTGACCTGTAAGAAAAATATTGAGTATTTAATATTGTTTTTAATTTGAAAGTAATGAGTAAAACTTACCCGTAGCTTGAGAAATTTTGGATATAACATCAACAATTTTGGTTCTCGTATTATTATCCAATACCTATTTGTACATATTTATTATTTAGTGCTTTTCTGAGAGACGAATAGCCTAAACTCATTCGTTTTCGTTGTTTTGATGGACTCCGCGAGGAACGGTTATAATAGTATTCGATGTAGAAGAATCCATAATCGTAGAAATTCAATACAATTGCTTAATAAAGTTTTGAAAAGAACTGTTATTAAAGAAATAAAATAAAAAAACTAAGTAATAATGATGAGATATCAAAGCAATAACAAAACTTAAATTATAAAATGTCAGAATCGATAATAGAACTGTCAACAGTAGCTAAAAAGTGATGTGTAAAACTGACTTCAATCTGACCAATTAGAAGTCTACAGAATTGCCAACTTAAATTCAAATCGCTCCTCTTAGTTTAAAAACAGAGTATAGAAATCATCGTTCAGATTTGGTAACTAGAAACAACGTAACGACTTTGTTATTGAATAGAGTTTCAAAAATTATCGTTATAAAAGTCGTTGGTTGAACTGTCGTTAGCTTAACGATGTCGTCCATAAACGATAAATTACTGAATAGGGCCCTTAGTCCGATTAGTGACAGTTTAACACGCTTAAATGTCATTTAAAAGCACCCTAAAAAAACTCCGCTTTTGTCCCGCTCCAGCCTCTGACTATCCGAACTCGCCTACCGAAGACCGAACGCAATGCAGATTAGTTGAAGTTTGAAGTAGATGTCAGTGTCAATTTGTGTTTTTGTTGGATTTTGAACAAAAAACTTGTTTTGTGGTTTTTACTTAAGTTTTTCAAAGTTTTTATTTATTTTAACCGGCTTTAAAATAATCTATACAAATATAAAAATAATATTACGAGTGAATGATTTGTGATAGTAGAACCTTCTGGCATTTGGTAATTTTCAAATAATCGGATAAAAATGGATGGAGATCCAAATAGGATATGGCACAGACCTTGGACCACCCAAGAAATAATAGCTAATTCAGAAAATTGGTCTCTAGCCGGAGATGTAGCTCTACTAAATACTATTAAAGCCTTTGCAGATGTATGTAATAAGTATATACCCATGAAAATATTTGTAAAATAAACCAAGGTTCTACCGAAATGGAGACCGTTTTAGATTAAAGGTATCTGCCCACTACAGCATACCATACCATGACCATAAAAGGAACGTCTCAGGCACGAAAGAAAGCACTGCGGTCACTACTTGGCCCACTGCAGCGAATCAACAGCGTTTTATCCTCACATACAACGTGTATGATAACTGTGCCTTGCCAGTTTACTAGCCGTTTGGGGCCTGTTATATCAGTTGTATATGTGTTTATTACTTTTATTTGTGTATCGCGGAAGCATTCGTCGAGAGAACTACAATCTATATGTATAATATAGTTTACGGTGTTGTAAATTTCCTTTAAAATACAATGCCTATTAGGAAATTATTATTATTATAACGCGATACACACGCGGCTAAAACGCTGTAGGCCACCTGCGCACACCAGCTTGACAACATAGCTGGCCATGGACGGTGCGTGCCTGTACCTGCAAAATATTCTCACAGTGAAATTGTTGACAGTCCTGTCATGGCACGCTACGGTGTTAGCCAGTGGGCGTTGTCGCATATCAAAACATGCAAAGAATATTTGGTTGTAGAATATAAGTAAAAGTTGGAAAGGCTTTTGCCAGTTCTCCCACTTTATAACATAAATTGACAGGTTTGCTGCGGATCTCACCGAAGTGGACGCGATACATTGGCATACAAAATTATTTTATAGATGTTAATAACAATTTCGAGTAAATAGTTTAATAAATTGTGAATAGATGTTGAAATTTTGTAAAATTATGATTTGAATATTATAATACATGTTTAATAATTATTTATAGTCCATAAATACATGCGATTGTCCGGTTCCGCCGATAACAATTTAAAACTTATTCTATGAAATGACACTGGCAGGTAAACATTACTGTGAAATTCTCGAAGCCGTCCGACGTGGTTTGACGTTTACCCCCTCTACCTACCTACCTACCTACCTACCTACCTACCTACCTACCTACCTACCCTATATGTGTCGATACGGTTACAATCATGGTATGGTAAGGTGTAATGGGCAGAGACCTTTAACCTGTAACAGGACACAGGGAAACAGATTTTTTTTTAATATCCATGAGATGATCAGCTTCTAATTTGGGGTGAACACCATAGACCCTTTTCAAAATGACTATAAAATTATTTTGTGTGAGCAAATATATTACCTTGATGTCGAATCATGACAATTCATTTCGTTTCACATATACATATATTTTTAATGTTCAACAAATTGAATTTGTCAGACAAATTTGTTAAAAAAATGTTATTCCTTGCATGGCCCATTGCTTTAAACAGTTGAACCTGTTATTTTCTGTAATAATGCTCTTCTAAGCACAAAAATCATATCTGATAATACATTTAATAATGCCAAGTATTTCAAATATGGCAATTCTGTTTTAAAATGCAGCTGAATTTGTGGATATGACAATTGATTTGGAATGTATAACATGTACTTCTGCTGCAGATGAATTTATACATTAAAAATATGTGCTAGATTTGAGTGGTCACAAAGCAGATACTACCTCCAATATAAACAAAAAAGCAGAGATACGACTTGTATGCTTAGAAGGGCAGATTACCTATAATGCTGTTAACTCAGTTCACATCTCTTTTTTTTAATCAAAATAGCATTTACTTGGATATCTATATTCCTTGACAATATTTTTATTCATTTTACACTTTATAGATGTGTAACAATACTATTACAATAGTGTAATAATAATGTTATAGTAGTTGTAATAATAGTGTTATATAATATTGAGTGTATTAGTAATTAGTATAATTTTTTAGAATCTGCTTACTAAAACTGATGCTTTAAATGATAATATAATCGACTTACTACATAATTTAGATGAAGTAGGCCTTAAACTGGATATTTCACAAAATGAATTTCAAAATTTAAAAAATACCCAATTCATAGAAAGTAGGGTCTATGATGATGATGAGGCACTGGATAGCAAAGAAAATGAGAAAGTAAGTACCTCTTAAAAATAAATTTTAACTATTTTCCACTATCCTCTTGAATGATGACTTACCTTGAAATCTTACCTTACCTTCCTTTAGATAATGAAGTAAAATAGGTAATATTAATCTTCTGGATTTTACTTATTGTTAAATCAGTTACAGTACTTTATTCAACCAAAGAGTAGAAATAACTGATTTTATTTGTTTGATGTTAGACTTATTTTTATTAATAAAATTGAAACATTTTATGTTTTATGACTTGGAATGTGATATATTTATAAAAATTTGATACGTTCATCCATTCATTTTTCAGACACAGTGAGAGAACCTTTTTGCAGGTAAAAATTGTAAAAATCAAATTCAGCTCACACCATTTTTCAAAAAAGTCCATAACAAATTCACTCCAGAACTGGGAGATCTATAAAAGCATACTATCATAAACGTTTTATTATTATGTAAGAGTCCTAACTAAAATTACTTTCTTAATATCTAAAATTCACATATACAATAACTTCCCCCAGTATGGCGATTGTTACTATATATCAGCTCTATATATTATATAACTGTTAATATCTATGTCGCTCAAGCCAACCCTGTTCTTTGTTTATTACCGTACGCGGGACAGGAAGTCTAGCGCTGGCCATATCTAAATCCATCTTGAGAAACCGATTCGAATGTTTTCCATTGCAGTTTTACACGTTCCAGAATTTCTAGTCAGAGTTGGTTCTTTCGAGAGTGTTATATTTATATAAATAGACGCTAAGTTTTCAATTTAAGGTAGTTCACTCGTAAAACGGCGTTTCTTAAGAATTTAATAAAATTTAAATATAAGGTTTATGAAAGTGTCGTTTACGTAACTAAAAAAAAATTAGATTTTTTGACCGTCTGTGAAACGAGATATTACCAATCAAAATGTGCATAATTAACACTCTTGAAGCCTATCATGCACACAAGCAATGCATTTATTTCAAGATATCTCGAAAACGGATCTTACCATATTTTTTAAAAACTAATGTTAAATAAATCAAGAAGTTATAAAATTTTATAAATAATCGCTGGATTTTTTGACCGTCTTAGTAAAAAGATATAGATTGTTAAAATAAAAATATTTTTAAAGCAGTTGACGAGTAGTTTCGTAAAGTAACACTCGATCAGCTAAGAGGTTGTTATAAACTCGTGACGTGTTCTTGAAAAATTAATTCGTCCACTGTGTTTGAGAACTGGAATCAGCGGTTTTGTTTGAACCAAAACAAACCCTTAAAATTAGTATGAGGAAGTCACAAATTTCTATACCATATCGTTTAAATATTTGCGAGATTGCCGGATGAATTTGATTAAAATTATAACATGTCCATATGTGTTTATATACATGTGGTTTGTACAGTCTCTTACAAAAATAAAATTGATTAGCATTGAGAATCTCGAACTTTTGGTATTAACCATTACGCGATATTTTTATGTACGACTGTCGCGAGTGAACTACCTTAAGTGCTGTATCAAAAAGATAAATTGTAATAAATAAATTAGAATTGTGAGTCTAAGTATTATATAAATTAATTAGTATGTTATAAATAAATTGTAAATAAAGTGTTTTAAATAAACAAACTATAAATAAATTAAACAAACGTTACATCTATTTTATTATTATATATCTGAAGTTACCCATACAGCACAAACACATTTCTGAAATATTTCAACAATGTTACATTGAAACATTTGCAATGTTCTATAAATATTACAAAACATCCCAGAAACATTTCTGAAATATGCCTGAAACGTAAAAATGTCCTGTAAATATAATATTTCACAGTAATATTTCTCAAATGAAAATTTGAAATCTTTTAGAAATATTAAATAGTAATATTTCAGAAATGTATTCTAGTTTTTTTTTCTAATATATTATTAGACTAAAAATATACATGTTTATTTATATACACAAAACTCAAACATTGATTCTTAAACAAACAAATAAGTTTAAAAGAATATTTCATAAAATATAAAAGCTAATTGCTTCATTTCCACCAATTTCTTTAAATGCACTATTTTAAAACAGCTAGGTTATTTTTTTAAAAAGGTACTTTTAGACGGTCAGATCAGTTCTCCGTTCAGTCGTAGTTTCAGTCGAACTGTCAGTTATCTGTATGTGTAAACACAAAAACTATAAGAAAAACTGAAACTGATACATAGCTGTGGCTCGATGGGTATACCAAATTATCGTATCAGTTGTCAGTTAACTGGATGTAATTTCCAAACTGAACTGACAACTATACTGAAACTGAGACTGAACGGAGAACTGATCTGACCATCTAAAAGTACCTTTAATAAATGCTCCAAGAAGAGAAACATTTACGATTATTATAATCTAATCATTAAGAGGAGTATTTACTTGGCTTTAGAGCAGAGCATGCAAGGGTTTCGTAGTACCCCACTTTTAAAGTTTATTTTTGACATATTTTAAAAGAAAAAAATATGTTCATGTATAGAGAAAGTAAAAGTTGAAAAGTCTTTTGGTAGGTAGAGAGGGGGTAAACGTCAAACCACGTCGGGCAGCTCCGAGAATTTCACAGTAATGTTTACCTGCCAGTGTCGTTTCATAGAATAAGTAATTTTAAATTGTTATCGGCGGAACCGGACAATCGCATGTATTTATGGATTATAAATAATTATTAAACATGTATTATAATATTTAAATTATAATTTTACAAAATTTCAACAGCTATTCACAATTTATTAAACTATTTACTCGAAATTGTTATTAACATCTATAAAATAATTTTGTACGCCAATGTATCGTGTCCATTTCGGTGAGATCCGCTGACAACCTGTCAATTTATGTGTATAAAGTGGGAGAACTGGCGAAAGCATTTCCAACTTTTACTTCTGTTATAGGTAAAGGTTAAATCTGTGCTCCTCTGGAAACACTTTTTCAAAATTTCAATTTGTTTTTTCTAAAAAAAAAACAAAACTCGACTTTTTTGATCCATTTTCTCAATTTTTTTTAGAAAAAACTAAATTGAATTTTGAAAAAGTGGTTCCAGAGGAGCATAGATTTAACCTTTATCTACACGTACATATTTTTTTCTTTTAAAAATACTCAAAAATAAACTTTAAAAGTGGGGTACTACAAAACCCTTACATTGCAAGATTTTTCGTCTGGCAAGTGGCGCCTCTGTTAGATTTTTAAGAAATTAATATTTGTGAATGAAAACAATTTACAAAATATTTTACTGATGTTTTACTAGGGATAATTAAAGTTTACGTATTTGTAGGTATACCTTATTGTTTTACGTAAATCATTTCTGTAATACTAATATATACATAGTACACCAATTTTACGGATTATTTTTTATTTTTTGAAAAACTATGTAAGTACAGGTAAAGGAGTCACTTTTTTAACATTTGAATCGGTTTATTTTGAAAATGTAAGAAGATATCTTTCTATCGAAAAAAAAAAAAAAAAAAAAATACATATAAAAATGCTAGAAGAGAACAATATAGGTTTTTAATTTTTACAGGAACATTTATTTTTCTCAATAAAAATTAAAAAAATACGTTAAAAGCTTTTTCGTCTAGAGGGCGACACCAACAAAATGTATATCCTATTCTACTATTTACAAGTGATTTGAATTTATTTTGTTTTATGTCTGTACACTTTGTTATTTTTACATACAGTAATTTCGCTCAATTATTTTAAATTATTTTTATCATTTATTTATTAAAAAAATATATCCGAAATTAAAAGGTATACAATGAGATTTGAATTATTAATTGACTTTTATATTGTACGGGAATTTTTTTTTTAATGAATACATCTTCGAGTTAAAAATAATGAATTCCAGCTGTTAAAGTAATGTATATTTTTTCGAACTTAGTAAATCATTTTTTTTTGCTTTCGAGCGTGGCTTTGATCTCTCACACTCTTTGATGCGCGTTGCATTGTGGATTGTAGCAAAATGAAAGACGAAAATGAGTCACTGTTTCAAAATTTGGAGACATTTGTAAAAAAAGGAAAGGCATTATTTAAACAATCTCATAAAATCTTTTATTTTTTGCTAAAGCCTTTTAATATGACATGGACAATAAACCCAGAGCAAAATAAGATTAGGAAATTTATTAGCAAGAAAAAGTTTTTATATGTGGACTTTTATTGATTCCGAATTTGATTATGTTCCTGCCAGTCCAGATGGAATTTAAAACAAAAAACTCTATGATAAGAGTTAAAATGTCCATAAGAAGCTAGAGTGTTGACTGAAGAAAAAGGAATATGCAGGAGAAAAATAACTATCTGGAAAAAGGATAATACCATTAAGGGGAACCACAATCGGTACTTTCAAATTCAAGGCTAGCTGCACATTACACAAATGAATTTTTGCATTTTGTGCGTTTGGACTTCTCGAGAAATAAAAGTGGAGGAAATTCCTCATAATGACAGCTTTTGGGAAGAAAAGGTGCAAAATAAAATTCAAAATTATTATATGCAATATGCCTTACCAGAACTAGTTGACAGCAGAGCTAATAGAGACATGAAAGTACGGGACAGAATGCCAAATAAATGGTGAGTTTAACAGTACGGGTTTTTTATGAATTTGTTCTAGAAGCTGTACCTCATAACAGATTATTCAAACAATAAAAATAATTTTTGTTAAAATATAAATAATAATAATAATAATATGCTGAAACATTATATCTGATCGCTACATTTTATAAAACCAAAGGTACCTTTTCATTTAACTAACTCACACATGGCTACTCCAAGTTTAAATATTATAAATCCGCTTGAATATAAAAAATAACAGGTATAGAAAATATTTTTTAAGAACCTAGTTTCTTTAAAAATATAAAATGTCATAAGACCGTTTATTGTTTGTTTACATTGGTCTCCTGTTTTTTTGACTTTTTGTATCGAGGACATATTATTATGTGATATAGATGGGAATGCATTGCTAAACTATGGACGCTTTTCTACTCTTAATCAATTATTATTAGTAGAGTGTATGTATTAAAATATT